AGTTGACACAAAGAAACAAGAATGGATCAGTTTGCATCATTTCAAACATAATGCCAGGTGTAAATGTGGCCATTGACACTTTTGTCCTAACACCCGTCTCGGGTGATCCAATCACAATTGGTCAGTTGAGACACTTCCCTGATTACTCCTGGTATCAACGTGCATCTCCTGTGACCACTTGTGATGGGATTTAAATTAAAATTCAACGTCCACTGTTATTTTAACTAGAATATGGTCAGACTTGTGGCTTTGGTTCAGATGTGTTTCTAAGGAGAGATTCATTCAAATAAATTGAATCAATTTTACTCCCGATATGTAAAGAGCTGTTTTACTCACCACTTCATAAGGAACATAAGGTCTCCACAGGAGTCTGTTGCCCCAATAATCTTCTCAGGCTCCAGGCCTCGCTCAAAACCTCTCGCTACAAGGATCTCATCCTAGAAAGAACAAAGACGACAATCAAAAATCGTTGTTTATAACAAACCAATCCATCATAAAGGAACTTAACTGTAAACCTTTGCTTCTGTCCAAAATACGAATCCATAACGCAAAATAATTCTGATGGCACCCATCCTCTGCAGAGGATCCATTGGTGAGCAAGTGATGTAATGCTAAATCTCTCCAAAAATCTCTCTCAATGAAAAGACAAAATCATCTACATCTTGGATGGCCTGAGGGCGAGTACATTTTCAGCAAATTTTCATTTTTGGTGGAACTATTCCTTAAAGCAAGTAATGAGGTAAGAAACATATTTTAGAGAGAATTTCAACCCTCTGGATGTACTTGCAATATCAGCATGGATATTGCATGGTAATTACATTTTAATGAAGTTTAAGTGGGGGCTCTTAAAACCTTTTTCGTTAACCTCTTACCTCCTTTTTCTTTTTGGGTTTGCTGCCGCTCCTGTTCTCTTCCTCTGAGTTTTTCCTCTTGCTGCTGCTGCTGCTACTGTCTTTGGGACGGGCCGAAGAAGAGCCTGTGCTGGAGGGCTTGCTGCTGGGTGTGCTTCCGCTGCTTCCCTTTTTATAGGTCTTCATGAACTCAGCAATAAGCTCTGGACAGTCCAGGTTCTTCTCTGGTTCCCATGTGTTGTGTTTGCTGCAAAACAATGCATGATTCATGCATGATAAGCTAAAGCCACTGGATTTCCTCATATCATAGATACACCTTCAGGAAGTTTACATACTATGACAAAACTATGAGTGTTCTTCAAACTAGGTTTTTTTTTTTTTTATTAGACTTGTCCACTAATCTCAATGTAAAAACTACTGATGTTTTTCCATGCATTTTAAGACTTTTACATGCAGTAACACATCTCTTCTTGAGATGAAACAGTCTATACTACTTCTTATTATAAAGTACAATGAAGACTTACTCTGAAAAGCCTTTCCACTTCAGGAAATATTCCACACGGCCCTTCACAACTCGCCTGTCCATGACCTTCTCCACTACATACTCTTCCTCATCTGAGGAAGCAGCCTCATCATCTTCACGGTTCTGGTTCTTCTTTGCCATGGCTTATTCTGAATGCCTTTCCTATGAGCAAGTGTGACCTGTGTGGCTCCCTGGTCCGGGGAGGAAAGTGTTCTCACTGAAAAAAAAGTGCTATTAAAGTTAGAAACAGAGCAGTCCTTTACCATACAAAAATACAAAAAGAGGAGTGTATTTGACTGTTCAGATGCATATTCATTTCAAATATAACTTAAATATAAACAAACATCTGATGTCAAAATAGATCTGTGCATTAGGTCTTGCAGTGTAAACGTCTAATAAATCTATTGCTGTCAGTTATGTAATTAATATTAATCAACCAATACTATGGATAATAATAACTTGAGAAAGTGTTAATTTAATACCTCTAATTCATACAGCCTATGCTAGAGTTTTATTTTAGATTCTCTAACTTCTACTAGTGATATATGTTGATAGTGCTGTTAAGAATGTAGAAAAGGAGTTTACTTCTATTGTCTTGTAATTTGTCTCTTTGATTAAATTTTATTACTCACTGTTTACTTTAATAATTGCCTGAAGACAAAGGACAATGTTTACTTAAGAAATTAGTTAGCAGTAGTTTCTGCTGTGGCACTGTATATCATGACATTTCATTTTTTTTTTTTATTAGACTTGTCCACTAATCTCAATGTAAAAACTACTGATGTTTTTCCATGCATTTTAAGACTTTTACATGCAGTAACACATCTCTTCTTGAGATGAAACAGTCTATACTACTTCTTATTATAAAGTACAATGAAGACTTACTCTGAAAAGCCTTTCCACTTCAGGAAATATTCCACACGGCCCTTCACAACTCGCCTGTCCATGACCTTCTCCACTACATACTCTTCCTCATCTGAGGAAGCAGCCTCATCATCTTCACGGTTCTGGTTCTTCTTTGCCATGGCTTATTCTGAATGTCTTTCCTATGAGCAAGTGTGACCTGTGTGGCTCCCTGGTCCGGGGAGGAAAGTGTTCCCACTGAAAAAAAAGTGCTATTAAAGTTAGAAATAGAGCAGTCCTTTACCATACAAAAATACAAAAAGAGGAGTGTATTTGACTGTTCAGATGCATATTCATTTCAAATATAACTTAAATATAAACAAACATCTGATGTCAAAATAGATCTGTGCATTAGGTCTTGCAGTGTAAACGTCTAATAAATCTATTGCTGTCAGTTATGTAATTAATATTAATCAACCAATACTATGGATAATAATAACTTGAGAAAGTGTTAATTTAATACCTCTAATTCATACAGCCTATGCTAGAGTTTTATTTTAGATTCTCTAACTTCTACTAGTGATATATGTTGATAGTGCTGTTAAGAATGTAGAAAAGGAGTTTACTTCTATTGTCTTGTAATTTGTCTCTTTGATTAAATTTTATTACTCACTGTTTACTTTAATAATTGCCTGAAGACAAAGGACAATGTTTACTTAAGAAATTAGTTAGCAGTAGTTTCTGCTGTGGCACTGTATATCATGACATTTCACTGGTCTAGGTATATTGTATGGCATTAATATGGACTGTTGTCTATATTGTGAAAATTCTATTTCCAGCAAAAATAACCATATCCTGAACTGAAGTTACTCTTAACATGATAACAACAAAAGCTGGACAGTATGAGCAAAATCTCAGGACTTAAGGCTAAACTTTTCTTACCTTAAAAATCTATATTTATTTTTAGACACTCACCTACAGTATTCTATTGGAGGATGTGACCTTTTAAAGTGCAGAGATGATTCTTGGATTACAGCATTCAGAGCTCCCCTAAACAAATACAACTCATTTAAACATTACTGCACTTACACATAACCAAAATGTATATCAATAAACATGCATAAGGAGAAACGCATTCAACGCTCTAATAAATAATTGTAGAGGACTCTTAGAAATGGACACACAAAAGATCAGCATGCCTTTGATTTGAGGAGCTGTAAAATAATTTTCAAGCCTATATGCATACTAATAATAATAGCAAAATAAATCAACTTTAAAAAATGTTTTGTTAGTAAACATTGCGCACACACTGTTATCAAAGCTAAAGGAACAACAATGCATGCCGTCTGTATACATTACATTAAAATCAAGCAGTTATATTGGGATGCAATTCCTATATTCATTTACTAAGATACATATTTAAATCAACCTTGCACTAGAAATGCGATAAACCAGCCATGTGTTCTTATCTTACGGTCTTGAAGGATTTTAGCGAGCAAGGCCAAACAATGTGAAAACATTGAACAGCCCTGCACGACTCTCACGTTTTCATAGTCTCACGTTGCATGTCATATGCGATCTAATTCCCAATGCATTTATTCCTAAATACGAAACATAATTCACATCGTAAACGGATTTAAATGCAGTGCTAGCTGCACTGCTAACATTTAGCTACAGAAGTTCCATTGATTGCTACTGTTTGCCTCGCTATAAGCACATTTCGAAATAGCAACAGTACAAAAACAGAGAGAGAGAGAGAGAGAGAGAGCGCGCAATACAATGAGAGCATAATTTCATGCGTTTGCCGGTGTTGTGTTTGTGTAGAACGCAAGCTCAACTAACTTAGCCAATGCCTGCAAAAACAATAAACAAGGCTCACCGATACCCAGGCGCATGATACCAGGCTAATATAGCTCAATTAGCTTACACGCTCCACTTCTTTCTTCGGTTCTCTGCATCTAACCGCTACAAGCAAAGCATCCGTGTGCTTTTTCGCCTTTATTTGAATATTATCGTCGTGCTCGCTAGTGAGCCTTTGCTTAGCAACAACGCGGGCCGAGCAGAACAGATTTCACCTGATCCTATCATGTTAAAGCGTAAAACACACTGACGGATTAAATCATTTCCAACGCAAGGAAAACATACAATGATATATCCTGACGTTAATTTGGATAACTATTGTATACTTACTGAGATATTTTTCGATGTTTTCTTATTCGTGTTGGATAATGAGGCTGAGGCGGCGGCGGTTTTTTCCCTACACACAGGAGTTTGCTGCCTTTCGCGCATGCATCCGTCCAGTGGCGCGTCCAGCCAATCAGCGTGCGCCTGAGCGAACCGCTCTCGCGCCAAAAACGGCCTCACGCAAACAATGGGATGCGCACGCGTCACACGGCAACTAAAACCACAGACTTTGCTGAATGTTTCTGGTATTTAAAAAAAAATCCATATTTACCTTTTTAAAAACACATATTTTCATATAAGATGAATGAGTGCCTTTGAACAAGGGATGACGGTTATATGGAAGCTGTGTGAATAAAATATAACTTGTAAATTATTAATCCCCTCATATATATTAATACGTTTTTTAAATAGTTTTTGCAACAACAAAAAAAGCGTTTTGTTTTTTAAACGTATGAGAAAGAAAGATTTGTAAACGCACTAACCTCTGTTCCAGGGATTGACTTGAGTCTCAGCCAATCAGGTATCGTCAAAACGCAAAACAAACGCGTTAGCGGGAAGCGTAAACCAATCATTGTCTGCAGTAGGAGGGGACTGTATTTGCCCAAGCTATTTATGGTATCTCCCCTGTTCTTAGTGCTTGTCTCATCGAGAAGCGTGTGGCGCAGCACGGACAGAAATAGTCGGTAGGATGTCCAAAGAGGTAGGGTGGCTTTAATAATGCAGCTAGTTTTGCTTTTGTGAGAAACGGTTTAAGCAATGTAGTTTTCATGTTCTGAGCGTTTTCCGATTTAACTCTGATCTCATTCGTGGCTCTTTTGTTAATGCAAATAGCGTGTTCGGCCGCCATTTTAACTCTTGTACTATGCACACATAGGCCGCGTGTTTGCATTGAAGGTCGTGTTCTCGAAAATCGTAGTTTCTTTGTTTTAATTCCTCACCGGCCGTATCTGTGATTGTTTACATTAATTTTTAATATATATTTTACTGAAACAAAGGTACTGTTTATAGATATGCCGTGTTGTGCGGCACCAACATGGCGGAGGTTTTTCGATCACCTCCCCCCCAAATAGAGTCTGTTACCTCAAGGATTAATGACGCTTTGTGCATGAATAAATTGTTAGTTTAATATTCGCTGCAGAATAATGCACACGACGCATTCCGTTTCAGTGTTAAATTATTATGGGTTATTTCCAGGGCCAACCACGTGAGCCAGAGCAGCTGCGGAAGCTCTTCATTGGAGGTCTCAGCTTTGAAACCACAGACGATAGTTTGCGGGCGCATTTTGAACAATGGGGCACCTTAACGGATTGTGTGGTAAGTTCCTTCTATCTGGCTTCTATACAGCGATATACAATATGGATCGTATCTTTGCATAATCTAACACCAGTTATTGTGGTTTAAGGGTATGGTGATGACCAATAGGTGTTTTAACCCTTATTATACTTATGTGCTGTTGTAGGTGATGAAAGATCCAAACACCAAACGCTCCAGGGGCTTTGGGTTTGTCACTTATTCCAGCGTGTTCGAAGTCGATGCCTCTATGGATGCACGGCCCCACAAGGTCGATGGTAGGCTTGTGGAGCCCAAACGAGCTGTGTCTCGAGAGGTGCGTTTTAACACCCCAAGCCTTTGTAATGTAAAAACTTAAAAGACGTGTATGAATGCAAATGCCTCATTGCATATCGGTTTTAGGACTCCAACAAGCCATTTGCTCACACAACTGTGAAGAAGATCTTTGTGGGTGGCATTAAAGATGACACTGAGGAGAACCATCTTCGTGATTACTTCATACCATTTGGCAAAATTGAGGCCATTGAGATAATGGTTGACCACAAGACCGGAAACAAAAGAGGCTTTGCCTTTGTTACGTTCGATGACCATGATGCCGTTGATCGTATCGTCAGTAAGTGCTTCTGTTCAAGTGTAGGTTTTAGTGTCTTAATATTGTTGGTCTTTTTATTCTAAATGATAACATCTATATCTTCCCTCTCCTTAGTTCAAAAATACCACACTGTGAATGGGCACAACTGTGAAGTCAGAAAAGCTCTGTCTAAACAAGAGATGCAAAACACTGGCATGAACATGAGAGGTATTTTGGTGTTCAAGGTGTTTATTTTTTTTCCGTTTTAATGTACTTGGATGTATTAAATGGATCTTTTAAAATGAAATCTATAGGCCGTGGTGGTGGAGGAGGTGGAAACTTCAACAGATATGGCAACAATGGTGGCTACAACAATGACTTTGGAGGCGGTGGTGGCAGCGGCGGCAACCGCGATGGCTATTTTGGAAGAGGTACGTGCCAAAATGGACCTTGAAGTTTTAAATGATCAATTTAAGTTTTCGTATGGACCAAGCCATTTTCACAACCCTTTTCAGGAGGCAGAGGTGGTGGTGGCGGCAGCGGTTATGGAGGCGACTGCTACAACAACGGATTTGGTGGCGGAGATGGTATGCAGTGGTTTCTTGGTTCTTTGAAAGTACGGTTTAGTAAAATGTTTTGATTGTTAATGTTAAAGTAACTTATTCCTGTTGCTTTCTCCAGGTAATTATGGTGGCGGCCCTGGTAACTATGGTGGAAACCGTGGATATGGAGGTGGCGGCGGAGGAGGACATGGTTATGGCAACCAGGGTGGCGGTTATGGTAGTAGTGGTGGCGGCGGCAACAGCAGCGGCGGCGGCTATAATGACAATTACAACAACGGCAATGGAAACTTTGGAGGTGGTGAGTAGATACCAGTCTGAATTCTGAACTTCCATAGAAATGACTTGAAGAACTGTCAGCAGTAACCAGGTGTATGTGGTGTTTTAAATGTGAATAGGCAACTTTGGAGGTGGTGGTGGCGGCAGCGGAGGTGGTAACTACAGTGACTTTGGCAGCTATAACAACCAGCAGTCCAACTATGGTCCCATGAAAGGGAACTTTGGAGGTGGCGGAGGAAGAAACAGTGGCCCATATGGTGGTGAGTTTTTCATAATGGCCTTTTACGCTTCCCTTTTGGTTTAAGTCGCCTTGTATAAACAACTTGAATCCTAAATGACATGACGTCTGTTTTTAGGTGGCTATAGTGGTGGATCTGGTGGTGGATATGGAGGCAGCTCTGGTGGAAGACGGTTTTAAGCTCAGAAAGGTTAGTTTCTAATTCTTTTGACTACTTTAAATAGACTTGCAGGTTAACAATCCCAATACGTTAGTCTTGGACTGAATACTCATTGCTATACTGTAACCTTGCTGTACATCTGGTGTAGAAACAACAAACCTCAGGTAGTGTGCAGCTTAACATTTGTTGTTCATATTGTTCAACAGGACTGAGTGCTTTAGGAGAGGAGAGCGAGAGAAGTGACAGGGCAGATGCAGGTTTACATCCCTAGATCTGCTCAGCCAAACAGGTTTGGCAGATTTACAGCTGCCACCAGAAGAAGTGTACAGTAGTGCTATCATGTGTGGGACATCATGAATTTGTCATCATGCAGACTTATTTTATATTGTCTATGGAAAAAAGCATTCCAATGAGGTTTTATGTAGAACTACTTTCAGTCTTTATGGTTTTGATTTATGTAACCAATCAAGGTGAAATAAAACATCCTTTTTGTTTTTTTAAAAAAAAAAAGAAAAGATGTGTGTTAGTCATTTTGTTTTCTGGGTGTTTTAGCGTAGTACACTGACTTAATGGGGAGCTTCTTTGAGCCTTTTTAGTATGAAGTAAACAAGACTGT